GTATAAATGTGTTTTGTCAGTTGAACAAACCAGAAAACGCTGTCTTGGTTTGTCAAAAAAAGCAGGTGGTGGTGTTCGCAATCGACCTTAAGACTAAATTAGGATTTTGGACCGTTTGTGTTATAAATACGTATATTTTGGAAAAGAAATCTTTCGCATAGGCAGTTGGTTTTTACAGTCTCGAATAAATATTTGTTAACTGTCTATGACATCATGGTTTTCATAAATTTGAGTGTTCCATTCTTCATGAGACTGTATGCAACAGTACATGAACTAACCTTATTTGTGTTCTGCATATGGCGACTGTATGTAACAGTAGATGAAATAACCTCACCTGTGTTCTCCATATGGCGAATGACCCTATATATATTAAGTTTGTGTACAAGATGTCAAAAATTGGAAATTGTGATAATATGCCTTAAGGGTAAGTAAGATTATTGGGTTTATCTTGGTGGAATTATTGATGTTCACTCTTTTAGCTCAACTTTCCGCACTGTAAAATCATATGCAGAATCATGCATGGACAGATGCTTGCCTTAACTCTGTACCATAAGAGAATAATTTTTGTAAATTACAGGATATAGTTTTTGATTTCATGTTTCCCGAGTAATCTTAATTCATTGGTTGTTTCAAATTTTTCTCTAGGAGAAGATCCGAATAGCACTGTACGTGCAAAAGGCCGCACTTCATTTTATCGATGGTACCTACAAGCACCACCAATTACATTATTACCCACTGCAGCTCCATATATTCTTCTCATTCTCAATTTTATGTTTCTTTTCTGGTGTGTTATTGCAGCTGTTCACCGAACAGAAAAATATAAGGTCCCCAACGACGTTAAGGAAGCTGGGCTCGGAATCGGGTCGGATGAGCTCGCCTCAATAGCACGTTCGCATGATTTAAAGACCCTCGAGTCCCACGGCGGGGCACTGGGATTGGCGAGAAAACTATCTGTCTCCCTCGAAAATGGTCTCCCTGCAAGCCAAATCCCGACCATGCAGAAATTTTATGGCCAGAACAAATTCGTCGAGAAACCTCCCAGACCCTTCCCGATGTTTGTGTGGGACGCCATGCAGGACCTTACCCTGATTTTGCTAATGGCATGTGCCGTAATTTCTGTTGGAGTTGGGATTGCAACCGAGGGTTGGCCCAAGGGCATGTACGATGGGATCGGGATCATCCTCTCCATTTTCCTGGTTGTGATCGTGACCGCCGTTAGCGACTACAAGCAGTCGTTGCAGTTTAGGGACCTCGACAAGGAAAAACGAGACATAAAAATCCATGTCACCAGGGACGGTGCCCGGGGGAGGGTGTCCATATACGAACTCGTCGTGGGCGATATTGTCAACCTGTCCATAGGGGATCAGGTCCCCGCGGATGGGCTTTTTGTGTCGGGCCACAGCCTTTCGATCGATGAGTCAAGCCTGTCGGGTGAGAGTGAGCCCGTCCAAATAGATGCCGAACGGCCCTTTATGCTGTCCGGCACAAAAGTGCAGGACGGGTCGGGCAAGATGCTTGTGACGGCCGTGGGCATGAAGACAGAGTGGGGACGGTTGATGGTCACCTTGTGCCAAGGGGGTGAAGACGAGACCCCTTTGCAGGTGAAGCTGAATGGGGTGGCCACTATTATCGGGAAAATCGGTTTGGTTTTTGCAGTTTTGACACTTTCAGTGCTTACCATTCGGTTGCTTGCTGTTAAGGGTATGAACGGCCGTATCAGGGATTGGTCAGTGAGGGACGGTATGGATTTCCTGAATTTCTTTGCTATTGCGGTCACTATACTGGTGGTGGCCGTGCCGGAAGGGCTCCCACTGGCGGTCACGCTGAGTCTAGCGTTTGCCATGAAGAAGCTAATGAACGATCGAGCTCTTGTGAGACATCTGTCGGCCTGCGAGACCATGGGGTCTGCCACCAGCATCTGTACCGATAAAACCGGTACGCTGACAACGAATCACATGGTAGTCACTAAGATTTGGATGTGCGGAGAAGAGAAAATTATTGATGACAAAATTTTGAATACTTCAATATTAATATCTGAGAATCTAACAGAAATGCTTATGCACGCCCTGTTTCTGAACACGGGCGCCGAGGTCGTGAGAGGCAAGGATGAGAAGACAGAGGTATTAGGTTCGCCGACCGAGACGGCTCTTTTGGAATTCGGTCTGCGGTTTCAGATGAATTCTGATGCGTTGAGACGGGATTCAGAGATTATAAAAGTCGAACCTTTTAATTCAGTCAAGAAGAAGATGTCGGTGCTCATGGGACTCCCGGGTGGCGGCAGGAGGGCATTTGTGAAAGGTGCATCAGAGATTATTTATGGAATTTGTGACAAAGTTTTGGGGAGGAATGGGGAATCGGTTCCCATGTCGGGAAAAGAGAGGGAAACTATCATGAAGGCGATTGATAGTTTTGCCTGTGCGGCTCTGAGAACGCTTTGCTTGGCTTTTAAGGACGTGGAGATAACATCAGACGAGTCTGTTATTCCTGAAAACGGATACACACTGATTGCAGTTGTTGGGATTAAGGATCCTGTGCGTCCAGGTGTGAAAGAAGCTGTCAAGACTTGTTTGGCTGCTGGGATTACGGTGCGGATGGTGACGGGGGACAATATTAATACCGCGAAGGCCATAGCTAGAGAATGTGGTATCTTAACTGATGATGGTATAGCTATTGAAGGGTCTGATTTTCGTGACAGGAGTGTACAGGAAATGAAGGATATCATACCCAAACTGCAGGTATAGTGGAGTTTGGTAAAAAGCTTGTGCAGTGAAGATCATTAGTGTGATTAAATGCAATTCTTCTTTTCCTCCAGGTTATGGCGCGTTCTTTGCCGTTGGACAAGCACAAACTTGTGACTGTTTTAAGGAAAGAGTACAAAGAAGTAGTGGCCGTGACTGGCGATGGAACTAATGATGCTCCAGCTCTCCATGAAGCTGATGTTGGGCTAGCCATGGGTATAGCTGGAACTGAGGTCTATATCTATTAAACACGGATATTATTTGTTTTCCAGCTGCAGTTTCCAATTTTAATGTATCTTCCTTTTTTCATGGCATTTAAGAATATAGTTCTCTTTCTGTATAAGCAAAAATGTGTCTCTGCTTGTTTCATTTTTCGAGTACTTTCTTTGGGATTATTACCAAAACTCCTAATTTTATCCTATTCATCTTTCAAGACTACTGCCATTTATTGAAGTGGAGCTGTTAAATATCCTCAGGTTGCGAAAGAAAGTGCAGATGTTGTGATAATGGACGATAATTTCTCGACCATAGTGAATGTCGCCAAGTGGGGCCGCTCGGTCTACATCAACATCCAAAAGTTTGTCCAGTTCCAGCTGACCGTAAACATCGTGGCACTCATGACAAACTTCATTTCCTCATGCATTTCAGGTATCAAATCAATCCATCCCTAATTCAATTATTGTTGCAATTCATTATGATCTGGTTTCTTTTAAATGATTTAATTAATGCATTTCATTTATTAAAGGTTCGGCACCGTTGACGGCCGTGCAGTTGCTATGGGTGAACATGATAATGGACACCCTGGGGGCATTAGCAATAGCTACCGAACCTCCGCATGACGGGCTGATGGACCGGCCGCCCGTGGGGAGAAACGTGAATATCATCACAAGAGTTATGTGGAGGAATATAATCGGGCAAAGTATTTACCAGCTGGCCGTGCTTGGGGTGCTCACCTTTGACGGCAAGCGCCTCCTGAGCGTAGACGGCCCGGGTTCCGATGCCACGCATAAGACCCTGATATTCAACACCTTCGTTTTCTGCCAGGTCAGACACTTTTAGAGTTTATGTTATTAATGAATTTAGTTGTGCCATATTTGCTTCTGATACTGATTCAGATTCATTTAAAAGGAAGTCATGTTTTTCTTACTGACAGTACGATTCTGCTTCCTTTTGACACTACCGACTTCTGATTCTCATCTATTTCTTCTTTTCCAACCGTAAAATCACTTCTTCGAAGCAGACTATTCGCAAATAATCCCATAGTGTTGAACTGTCCAAACAAACTTCTCTTTTCCTGCCACACAATCACAACTCTATCCCTTTATAAAAACGACAGGTTTTCAACGAGATCAACAGCCGTGACATGGAGAAAATAAATGTATTCCGGGGCATGTTTGCTAGCTGGATTTTCGTCATTGTCATGGCCAGCACAGTGGCTTTCCAAGCTGTCATGGTCCAGTTTCTCGGTAAATTTGCCAATACTGTGCCCCTCAGTAGGGAGCTGTGGTTGGTCAGTGTATCGATAGGCGCCGCCAGCTTAGTCGTCGGCACTGTCTTGAAATGGCTCCCAGTTTCCATGAAGAACACCCGAGTCATTACACATCATGACGGATATGAGCCATTGCCTTCGGGGCCTGAACTCGTGTGAAAGAAGAAAAAAAAAAAGAATAAGTAAATGCAATCAAATCTCCTTTAATTTTGGACATATTTTGAAATTATAATTTTCTTTTCCCGCCACAAAATTGTGTAAATGAATAGATCATTCTTTTGTTGATTGATTTAATCTTATATGCATCAAATAAACAATAGGAATGTAAATAAGCTGAAATGTTTGATTTATGTTGCATCATTTTTCAACCATTTTTATTGTATAAAAAAAAATGAAATGATACATTTGCTTTTCTTTGTCATGTACACATGTTTTGTGAAGAAAATGTTGGAGATAGACCTTTGAGTGTGGTCTAATTCTTTCTGTGCTTTTTGTATCTTGTTGATGCGGCTGAATCTCATGCGAAAATGATTGTTTGGGAGAGACTCTTTTTTAACATCGCAGCCAATCAACTAAAATATTACAAAGAATGGACCCACGACCCAAAATTAATATCGGCCCAGCCTGTTCAAGATCGTCCAAGTTCAGTACAAAGAACACGGGCTAACGCCAAATTCTACGCTCGTGCCTGAGCCGAGCCGAGCCGAGCAATAGATGAGTGCATGGTCGAATCTTGCACCCACACTTGGCACATAAATTTAGTTGTTGTAACATCTCCCACTAAAGAATTTAATATGAGCTACAACACTTTGATCTTTCTAATCCCACAATCAACTTCTAAATTCATTTTTTTTTTTTTTTTCCAAGCAAAAGTAAATCTCATAGACTAAACAGAAAATACAAAGTTCAATTACATCACAATAATCTATCACTAGTCGGGCAATTTGAGAGAACCATTCTAAGATGGCCTAAACCACTGACTGCAATGATCGTCAACCAAAGACAACTCAAGAAGTTAACATCTTCAGTGACACCTAATCCAAATAGGCACAACAAAACTAAAAGCATAGCAAAACTGCTGCCAGAAACAAACTATAACTACAAAACCAACACATGATCTGCAAGGGCCAACATGCCTCGCACAGAAATACCAACCACATCAAACCAACAGATATTCCTAATGACCTATTGTACTGAATTCCCTCCATTCTTGCACTGCATTCTTGACTACAATTAATATGTTCCGGCATCCACATTTTCTGAAACATTCAAAGGTTGCAGGCCCACAACCACTATAGTATATAAGGAGATAATTGAATTCTATCTTCATCTTCATTTATGGCTTTATGCTTTAATGTCACTACAAGAAAAAATGCATTTGACGACGCTTATTTTTTTGTTTATTGACGCTTATTTTTTTCTGACATCAAATTTAGCAACACAACTCGCCAATAAGCGTCATTAATAAGCGTCGCCAAATGCAGTTTTTCTTGTAATGTGTGCACAAGATTGATCACCAGCTAGTAAATGTTCTCTGATCTCCTTGCTCATTCTGCCATTGGACTGGAGCCTCCTTGCTTTTTCCTAGCTTCAAAAAATTTAAAGTCAGAAAAATTTGATGGATGTCTTGTAAACCCAATCCTCCAGCCTCCTAAGTTCTAAATTCATTAAATGGTCAATTTTTTAACTATTTATTTCTTACTATAAGAAAAAGAAAATACACATCTACTTGCAATATATACTTGCAAGTTGCAACCTAAAATGATTTTACATAATTTAAATCAATATTTTTTTTTGCCACATAAAATTATTTAAAATATAATCAAACCTATTTTCATTACCGGTTTTTTCTAACATGGTTTTTCTTGGCTAAAAAAAAAAAAGTCGTTTACCAAACAATTGAATAATATAATAAAATCCGTTAATTTGTTATGTATGGCGACTTTAGCCAATGGCGGTGTTGATATCTAAAAATGACCAACAATGTGTTCGAACTGCACACTAAGGTGTGTGCTCTGTTCGGTCTGCACGAAAAGTATTTGTGTATGTGATTCGGTTTAGTTTACTGGTCCGAATGGTCAGGTTATCCGTGACTTATAGAGTAATTAATGATAGCATTTACTCATTGCATTAAATGATGTCCTCCCCTCCCTTTTATAGGAAGTTTAGGGACTTTACATTTCCCTCTTGGGGATTTTTACATTTCCTTTTACGGAATATTTTTAGATATTAGTTATTCAGCATTTAATGCTAATTGTACTTGACAATCTATTCCCAATATCTGAGAGCCGTACCGATCGTGCCACGCGTCCCCAGTTTTCCCTTGCCGTCGGATAGGAGATTTTTATGTATCTTCGCATTTAATGCACGCAGTACGACTGGCTCTAGGTAATGATTAATCAGATCTCGCTTATTCTCTCCCATCCGTTCGGCAGCGGCCCGATCCCGGAGGCATCCGGTTTCTTTTTTCTCTTACCACCATTCATTCGGTCTGTACCACCAACAAAGGCCCCCTGATTCGGGCATCACGTTAGGTGTAATCTCCGGTCGTAATGCCCGGATCTGCATATTCTTAACGAACCGAACGTCTCCGCTTCCTTCCGTTCTTCTGACCGGTCATCCTCTAATTCCAACAGGCGCGTCTCTTCCGTGACGGTTACCTTCTCCCAAAAGAGCGTGTCTCCTTTTTCGACGGTTTCCAGAGTAACTTCCATTTCACACGTGTCACCTTCTTATTGGGAGCCCCTGTCTTAATGGCGTATGCGAATCGCTTCGTCTGACACGTTGTATCGTGCTTTAATCATTGTGTCTCTTCATTCCCTTTTTAGACAGTATAAATATGTCTTCTCCCCTTTCGAAAAGTCCCACACTATTCTTTTCATTCAAAATTACTCTGACTTCTCCCTGTTCTTCAAACCGATCAACCCGTGCATCCGTTCGACTTTCCCTTACCTGTGGTCTATTATCCGCTGGAAGGTAATTTTTCTCTTCTTCTCCTTATTTCTCCTATCTATTAGTCAATATGAGTGCCGAGGCTTCGTCTACGTCCAAAAGTTACAACGAGGAGCAATACGATGAAGCCCTTCAAGGTGACACGACGGGCCGGATAAGACTTCCGCTTCAAATAGAGAGTCCGGATGAGGATCACCGGATAGAACAAGCAGTCGTGTCCGTTCCAAGCGGATACTGGCGTCGTCCGTACCGCGAATGGCCGTCAACGAGTGTCTTCGGATTGGCTCACATCCCAAGCGACATGACGGACGATAAGGCGGTCAAGGTCCGAACATCCATCCGGCTCCCTCGTGACATCAAGATGTTTGCGCCCTACAGTCGGGAACGGGTTCATTGTCCGCCACCCGGTTATATTGGCGTGTTCGAGCATTCGATCGCTTTCGGGGTCCATTTCCCGCTCCCTCGTATCCTAACCGAGTACCTGAGAGACCAGGGGGTCGGTTTTAGCCAGGTTTCTCCAATCGCCTGGCAGAAAATCATTAGTCTGCTCGTATTGTTCAGTCAACAAGGTTGGGAGATGCCGACACCGGATGACATTCGCGCGCTGTTTATGATGAAAGAGACGAGAAAAAAATCCGGACAGTTCTCTATATCCGTTCGGGACCCGAGATTTAGGGATCTCATCACCAAAGTCCCGGAGACGATCAACAAATTCAAATCTTCGTGGTTTTGGGTCGGACGCGGCTGGCAGACACGGAAGTCTCCGGATGATCCGGGAGCCTCTAAATTTTTAACTGTTCCGACGAGATTCGTCGCGAAGATTTGTAAGTTTATGCTTTCTTTTTCTCGTTCGTTTCTCCTAATTTTCGGTTATTTCTTGTCCGACCTAACATGTCAAGTTCGTTGTTTCAGCCAACCCTTAGATCGTTCCTAAGTTGAGAGAGTCATTCGTTCTCCAATTGACTGAGTTGTTGCAAAAAAGCGAGGACGAACGTGCCAGACCTAAATTGGTAGAGGATTCTAATCTGTTCGAGGCTGGACTTTGTACGGGCGACGTCGAGATTTCCTGTGTTCCTAGTAAGTGCCTTTGTCCGTTTTCCCTTTCTTTAACCGTTCAGTTGGGCGGTTGTATTGTCCGGTTTTTCTTACTGTTCGGCCCCTTGCAGCTTTTTATCCTTTGGGTAATCTGAAAGGTGTGGCCACCGACACGGGAGCAAAGAGAACTGCCGTGAAATCGAAGGGAAAGCAGACTGCTACCAGTTCCAAACCAGAATCGAGATCCCGAGAATCGACTGCCGAGATGGACCGTTTGGCGATGATTGAGAAGATGAGGGCCGCCCAGGCATCAGCATTGAAGGATCTGACCCCCCAACAGGAGGTCGGTTATGAGGTTATTGAGTCCTCGGGTGAGGAGGATGATCAGCAGTTACATAGGGGTCGCTTGGCGGGCCAAAAACGGGCTGCTGAAGTTGACGAGGCTCGTAAGGCTAAGCGCCCGGTCCAATCGGGGACTCAAGAGCAAGGTTCGACGGTTGGCCCCTTCACACCGGTTATACCGAGCGGTTTCCTTGAGGGGATGGACGCTCCTATTCATCAGGATGGGTCAAAGACTTATCTCCGGGTCGAGCCCACCCGAGCGGCCCGAGCGGATCGCCTGAAGAAAGTATCAGATAGTTGGTTCGTTCGTTACAAGTCAGTGGCACACCCACTCCTGCCGAACGTTGGGAACTGGCCCCCGCACGTGACGGATGCTGCCCTGGCGCCCTTGATGAGTTGGGATCTCCTGGCCGAATTGACTGCTCAAGCGCTCACTCCGACCGAACGGATGGAATACGCAGCGGGAAGCTTGGGTCGTGCTTTGTGCATGCAGGCGGCGGCCCTGGCTGACTTCAAAAGGATGAGGAGCGAATTGGCGAGGATTACGGCCGATCATGCCGTTTGCAAGGATAGGATCCACTCCCTCCAGGACGACCTCAAGAAGTCCGAACTGTTGCAGATGAAGATTGTCGAACTTGAAGGTGAGCTGAAAGTGGGACGATTGGAGGAAGTGAGATTGATTGACCAAGCAGACAGTGCCAAAAAACAGCTGGCCGAGGCCGAAAAGGAGCTTGCCGCGGCGAAATTGAATGCTGAGGAGGCCGTCCGGAAACTTGCAGCGGCCGAACGGGAAAGGGACACGGCGCTGGCCGAACAGGAGCGACTCCGGT